TGAAAAAAATTATATGCTTGGGATATTTAAGGAAAAAGTATATTTATTTATTGATAAAATTAATTCATTGTTGAGCAATGAGATTAACAATAAATTAATTTTTTAAATAAACAAACAAATGAGAAAAACATAAATAAACAAATAAATTTCGAATTGTTACAGTTTTTCAATCATTTTTTCAAATTCTAGAATCATCTGATTGATTTCGTTGCTTCAATTTTGTTTAATTTATTTTGTTGTAACATTTACTCTTTTTATTTCTGTGTAATGAATATATTTGTAAAGCGACAACTAATAGTAATGCTCTTATTTATAATTATGAAAACTACGAAAACTAAATATGAGGAAAGAGTTAAATTTTTGGAAATTGAAATTTTAAATTTGTTGTGATCATGTTTGCACGAGGAATTCAGTATTTTTTTATGAGAAATATTTTGCTGAACAGTCAAAATTATAATTATATTATTTATTGAAATTTTCAAGATGCATTTAACATTTTTCGGCAATTAAATCTACAAATCAGATGTGATCAGAATTTGATGATTCATTTTAAGTGCATGCAACAAATGACTAGAAAATTGAAATGCATATTAAAAAGGTCACTCAAATTGGCCAAATGTGCAATTATTTATTTGTCAAGAAAACCGAAATTAATTCCTATCTATAATCAAAGTAATTGTAGTTTTTTTAAAGAATTATATAATCAAATGATTGATAACTTGACAGAATTTCCTAATGATTCACCATCTGTAATAAATGTAAAAAACGTTTACAACTTTTCATGTAACCAGCAAATTTTTATCATAAAAATTATTCCATATCTAATTTTTCATCTAAATATTTCTTCTCATCCCCAAATATAAACTAATCAAATGATTAATTTTAACATCCGCTATTTTATCATTATTTTTCTTGTAAAACCATTTCTTTGTAACTAAACTGATTGTATCATGGCACGCCCAATCCTGTTTAAGAATTTAAATATCCCATAAATTTCACAACAAATTATTATTATCTGAATTGCTGTAATTTCCTTGATCAAAATAAGTCCTTTACAAAAAGTTCGTCAGCACATCAACGATTTAGTTAACCCTCAACCAAATCAAACTAATTTCAAAACTTTCACGACATTATTGTTTATTATCTGTTATTCAAATTATTTATGCAATCATCACAAATTCAAACATTTCAAATTAGTTAATTTCATCTCGGTTAAATCAAACTGATTCAGAAATTTTAAGTAAAATATTTTAAATTAAAATTGTCAATTCAATTGTTACAAATTTCATTCATTTCTCACTTCAATCCATCATTCATTTCCATTTTCTCTTTTTCTTTCAATTCATTTTTGATCATTATAAATTCAACAAAAAGAAAAATGATGAAAAAAAAAATAAACAGAAATGATCGATTAACTTTTAAATAGTATCATTCATTCATTTCGTTTCCATTTGCTGAACTTTTGCAAACAACTGTTAACGATGGGAATGATCATTATATTTTATGTGTTTTTTTTTTCACATTATTTCACAGGCTTTATGTTTACTGCAAAATAATATTTCAAACTTAGCAATGGAAGAAACAAATCGAAATTGCTTCTCCATCTTCTTTCACTTTTAATTCTATCTTTTGCATATTTGGTTGGAAAAGGATGAATCGATTCCGATTTAGCGGCCGCTGAAGAAGCAAACCCTCCCTTCCTTTCCTTTTTTCCCTTCTCAATATCGATCGCAATTTTAAAAATTCTTTTTTGTAAAAATTTCAACTATCCTGCTGTTCCTCTCTCGTTCTATCATGTTCATTCCTTACAAAAAAGAAAAAAAGAAATAGTTATCACTAATTCAAAAATTACTTTATTTATTCATTCATTAGCTATTTAGCAAGTTTATTATTATATTTATCTTGTTTTTGTCATTTATGTTATAATTAAATTCATTATTTATATTAATGAAGATAAAAAAGTTTACTGTCTTTTATTGATATTATCAACTCACTTATCAACCACTTCATTGATACAGTACCTCACTTATATACATCGCATTCCTCTATTTTACGGTAATTTGTTATCATTTTCAAAAACTATTATTGCACCTATCAGTTAACATCACATCCTATCAATTGTTATTTGATGACAGAAGGAATGGTATTGTTGTGAGTGTTACGGTAATGTTGTTGCAATATACATTCAAATCATCAATTCAACCGTCTAACAATTCATTCATTCCATTCATAGGAACAAAAGATCGATATTGCCAAAACAGTACACAACAGAGATGACCTCTGCTGATCTTAAGAGAGAAAAAGGAGAGTAACCTCGAGTGACCTTTAGAGAGAAAAAGGGGAGCAATGACGATGCAATTATTGGCGCACATGCTGACTTTTTTCTCTCTTCAGATATTTATTCTTCAATTTTCTTTCCTTCTTTCGTTCATATTTTATTAATACAAAAATATCTAAAAATCGATAATCATAAATAAATAATTGTTCTCGATGTGATGGGAATCATCTCAATACTGCCAATGGAAGAAATGTATAATGTACATTGATTGGAATATCGCAATAAACGAGATTGAAATATCGATCTTTTCTCCTCCAATAAACGAGACTTCATGTGTTACTTTTGCTTTTGCAAATAATAAATAATAGGATGCAAAATTGACAATAAAAAGTTTTTTCCACTTCATTGTTCTCTTTTTACTTTTCTCTTTCTCTCTCAGTATTTTCCACCACATCTCAATTATATCACCAAAGGACGGTCCTCATCGGCTTTATTCTTATGCTTTTTTCTCGCCCTTCTTTCTCAATTATTTCCATATTCCTTATTTCAACTACAATATCTCATCCATACTTTTTATCACCAAAGTACCAGCCTAACAGTCTAATTTTTTTCATTTTTATGAATCAGTCCATACCCGAGTTTCCGCAGATAATATACCCCATCGCGGGAAGATTGTTTTGCATTTGTCACGTCAGTGGACGTAAGATGGACGGACGAGTAGGTGGATGGGTCATTTGTTTTTCATATCGGACCGTTCTTTATATCCATCGATTTCCAGAATGAAAGTGGCACTTTTTGTTCAGGCTTAAGTTAGTTCTCTCATTTTTGAGTACAATTATTTGGTAATTCGTATTCAGTACATCACGTGGTCTCACGTAAATCGCGCAGCGTTACGTAATGGACCTAATATGATGATGATGAAAATAGCTGGACATATTGCTTGAGTGTCCATGTAGTGACCCATCAAACGAGATGGCTTCTGAGAGTGCTGTTTTGAATTTTTTTTTAATCTTTCGTTTGTTTAAAAGTGATGTTAAGTGATTTGCATATATTAGTAATATTATTCGATTGGAATGCGTCTTGTGTAAAAGTAATTAGATGGAGAATAACGGGTATTCATGTAAGGTGATGCCATAGAAACACGCTGAAAAATTGATATTACTTTTATTTTTCTACAATATATTTATAAAAATTTGAAAAATTTCCTTTATTTTATACAGTGGTTAAATATAAATATGAAATGAAAATAAACTTTACTTTTTCCTAAACGTACATGAGAGTTTATATATATTATTACAGTTTTCTTTTCAAAATGATGCCAAATGGTGTATGCATGCATTTGCAAATTCATTATGCATGCTCCATTTATGAAGCATTTATAAACATATATGCATCATATATGCATTAGTAATGTATATTACATCCGTGCATCATTTGTGTCATATGCTTATCATATTTTCGGTTATTACTTTTTTAAAAATATCAATTTTTATAGCGCTCAAAATTCAGATAATTGATTTTCAGAGGTTTTACGTGTTATGCGTTACGTGTATCATTCGCAGAGGGCATTTGAATGAAGCAATTTGCACTCTAAAATAAATTATTTTCTGAAGAAATAATGTACTTTAAATTACATTTCTTACTGTTCCTTCTTACTTTTATCGATTTTTTACTTGCTTATGAAAGAAAAGGTACATTTTTTTTCGAAATATATTTATAATATTCGGTATAGTGAGATGAAATTGAGCCAGATGAAATCTATTATGGAGTAGTAATGAATTATCCATTTATTTACTGCAGTTGCTTATTTTTTTTCATTTTCCCATCCTTCCTACCCCAGAAATAATTTTTCGTTTTTGGTTTAGAAAACTCGATTCCTACCGATTATTCGATGCTTTGAATTATTTGGGATTCTTAATTTTTTAAATGTAATTCAGGGTCATTTCACTACAACTTCGATCCACCAAATTTCACTTCGTTACCACGAAGATTTAAAAGAGGAATTGATGATGACAGCGACGATGTCGAGGACGCATTTCGTTTACCAAAAGACGTTGAGGTGCTAGAAGATTCGGTATGCTGTTGAAATACTTTAATTTTAAATTTTTGTATTACTTCCGGTACAATATTTTTCCCGCAGCGATCATCTTTCTAGTTCTAAAAATTCTAATTAGGTTTGCCCTATGTGGAGTGTTGTTTACTATACGCCGAGTGTTGTGTTTAATAGGTTATTTGCTGTTTGTGTCTTAGTACTGTTAGTATACTCATCCTTTTGAAGCGGATTCAAGTGATATGGGAGTTGCCTTGATATTTAAATCATTATGTATCAGATGTGAGTGATAGCACAGAAATGTTTCCTATATCTTAAAAGGAAGTAATTCGGATTATTTTTTAAAGATTGATCATCAATATTATATAATGGAAATCAAAGTCAACAGATCGGATCTGATGAAAGATTATTACATCGATGTACCAGCAATGTTAGAAAGGCCAGGAACTGTTGGTAACAGAAGTCATTCATCACTATCAAATAGCTATAGAAGAGCTGTGGTACGTCATATAGTCATCTAGAGATTTTTTAATGATAGAAATTTTAGTTTTTCATGCAAAATGATAGAATCATCTGCGCAAATAGAATTTAGCAAAAATGATTGTCTAATAACTGGTTGAAAATTGAATGTAATATTTAATTCATTATTCGTACTAGTTTTTCTGATTGAAAAGGCCTTTAGGCGGCTAAGATACAGTTCGACTTTCCTTTTTATGGTCATCGAATGAGAAATCTGACTATCGCTACTGGTGGTGAGTTATAATTTCTTTTCAAAGTATTTCTTTAATCTTTTCAGTACAATCTTTAGAAGTGATTCAAAATTAAATACTAGCACGTAGATGCAAATTTGTTTATGTCATAGGCTTTGCTTACATTGGTGATCAGTGGCACAGTTGGTTAGCAGCCACACAATATATTGCACCGCTTATGGCCAACTTTGATACGCACGGCGAAAATGCTACAATTATGTACGCGGATGATGGTGAAAAGTTTGTTATGGAATGGCGTAATTTACAACTTCGTGAACAACGTTCAGGCATGTTGCTACTTTTTTAAGATTAAAATTGCTACATTTTGGAAATTTCTTTTCCTAAACTTTAACA